CACTAGCACCGAGCTAATACATATAAGGCAATATAGAGTCAGCGCTAGCGCAAAGGCTAATACTAAAATAATTGGTAACATTTATTTTTTAAAATATTTCCATGCAGACATTCCCCTTTGACATCACTTCCTGTTATTTCACATGCAAATATCTCAACAACTTCATCTGAGCAACGTGCAATTTGTTTTGTAATATGTTTAATAATGTTGTCTTRCCAAAAATGCATTAACTTTTCTTACAAAAACTTGATGTCACKGYCACTTCAAGGTTTCATCTACAGGAAATTGGGGTTAATACCCCACCGTGGGTCCTAAAACCACAAACTTTGGGTCGTTAAACTGACTGCTAAGAATGTTTTTATGTTTGATGAAAAATCTGTTCGATATGGATAAAAGCAATTGGTTTATTAACAATATTTGAATACTTCAACCAAAAATACTTTGATTCATGAGTTTCTGCCACAGTTTTATTTTTTTGTCATTTGTGTTTATTATGAAATTGGTCTTAAATTTAATTTCAGCTGGCATTAAAAAAGTCTTAAATTAAACTTACTTTAAATTGTAGGAACCATGCAGACGAGACACTTTGGCTGTTTTCTTTCACTGTACGTCTGTGTGTGTCTCTGTTTCCCTCTACGTCTTTTCTTCTCTGCCTGGTTGTAGACAGCAGTCACACATTTTATTACAGTTGTGAAGGAGGATGGTTGATCAAAGATCATTATCAGGTCTTTTGTTTTATTTAATAAAAAACAGGTTGACTCAACCTCTGTGCACCCGTCAACTCAACCCCGATACAAACACCACTTCCCCCAGAAGCCCCCCAAGCTTTTCACAATAGAAGCACATTAACGTTTCCATATTAACGTCACGCATGAAATCTATTCGTTAGGGGTGTAAGAAAATATCGATACACTGAAATATCTCGATATTTCATTTCCCGATACTGTATCGATATTCTAAAGCCCTGTATCGATTTTTTTATTAAGGTTTAAAATGTCAACTTTCCTGCCAGCCGTTCATTTT